CCATTGGTACTTGACGTCAAGGAATCCGATACCCCAGCCAATTGGTCCAGTGAAGCAGACTGACAGTCCGGTTATCATAAGGCCAGTTCGGATTGGCTGCTCTTTTCGTGTATACCACATCCCAAGAGCGAGTAAATTGCCAGGTACAATGGGTGCTTCGAGCATGCCAAGCAGTACGCGCAGAGCAATTAGGGTTGCGAAATTATGAGCAAATCCAGTAGCAATAAGAATGATTCCCCAGACCAATTGAGCAGAGCACATTACCTTTGCCAAGGGGTACTTTTGTAGTAAACTGCCACTAGGGAAACACCACACGAGGTAACCAAACTACTCAAAGTGGACAATTAGACGGTGTAAACTATGAGCGGAATACAGAATAATTGAGTCTTACGTAAAACGCACTTCCAACCCAGCTGTATCGATTTCCTGTCAAACCAGTATCGGCCCGAAAATTATAAAGGGCCGCTGTTGATGTTGTGACTTTGTCTATTGCACCAAGGGTCACATTGAACCATAGCAGTGGTACAAGACGAAGGTCAAGCTTCCAGCGCAGCTTAACTTCCTCCTTTCGAGAGTATGTATCACCGTCTGCAAATTGATCCGCATACTGAGCAGCAATATCGGCATGAGTAAGATCTTTGGGATCGTCGAAGGTCTGGCCATGTTGCATAGATGTTGAATGGGTCATCGTGCCAGATGGGGTTTTATCGACATTATGAATGTCTGCCATCATGTTATACAATTGAGTTGGGAGGAACTGAGACTGATCTAGAATATCAAACTTCTCACTCGGCTATCCAGTAAATGAAGACCTGTTTTGTAGTCTGAACTACAGAGCAAGAACGGCCGACACAGAGTTTCATGAACGGCCGGAATAATGCATCGTTACGGAATGGATATGCTATTTAAGCTACAGACACATAGTCTATTGGGATTGATTGATTCACGCGTATCTCCCTGACATTGATCTGCATTGAATGACTGGCCAGAAAATTGACTTCGATAACGGTAGTAATTGCGCCTCGATCTAGATATGAAGCCTGATAACATCGCAATGAAAGGCCGACGTCGGGGTTAGGATCCGAATCACCTACAGTACAGTGGCTAACTTCTCAATCTGCACCACCCCGCAATTTGCCTGAATCCCATGCTTGGGGGCAAGGGAATTGTTTCATCATTAGTGGAAATCAATCGGAAACATCGGACTTCCCTTAGAACAGAGTGTTCCCATCCTATTCGGACTGTTTGTCCGATGCTTCCCTAGATAGAGTTTGGCTATCGAAACTTCAAATGCATTGATGTCGGGCTATACCGACAGAGATAATGACTAGTTATATGGAGCCAACAAGGCCGGAGCTCACCCCCGTAGCCCGGCTTCCTCTCGTTCTGGATTTCTTTTTCCCGCTGTGAGTCAATTGAGAAAATGAGAGATCACTGGCACTGTAAAGCGGCAAACAGTCGGCACTTTTTTGGTAATGTCATGCCAAATATTAGCGCGACTAATAATGTTCGTGGAGGTATCTAGCGGTGATGACCACGGTTTGCCGTCAAATCAGTGGGTGGGCTTCCACGTCGGCAGACACCGATTTCCGGAATCCTTCGGGGCCCACTTGACGATCGCTGATGCCTAGTAGGACAAAGCAAAGGGAGTCGCTCGGAATGGGCCTGTTAGATGTTGAAAAGCATGGTATGCATAATGGTTGCAACGGCTTGGAGACAGCACAAGGAGACTTCCTGGAGGAGGCGCTAAGATGGCTGCTTGGAGAGATTATTTTAGATTTAGCCCCGGAAATTGGTCGGCGCTGGACGTGCTTTCCGACAATTCACTCGATTTCTGGTCAAAAAGCTAGTCATACGTACTCGAGTCGTCTTCAAACTAAGCTGTAGACCTTCATGCTCCTAGAAATGACAAACCAGGACTAAGGAAGACAAGCAAGCGTTTGCGCATAGATACAATGGCAGTCCATAACTCAATCTCTTAATGAGAGGTAATTGTCATGAATAAATACGCTTCGTCAACACTACTACGGATTATTTTTGTTCGAGTCGGAGAGATATATATACTTGATATATGCCTTTAAAATGGCTCGGCAACGGCTGCCAAGATTGACGAACGCTTTTCGTAGTTAAAATAGCTCTACGCCATGACTGGCTACTAATCGAGGATAGGTGGTATAAAGTAGAATGCTTTGAAGATTACTTATCGGGTTATATAAACTCTGAAATCATGGTGACATAGTGGTTAAAAATACACGACGGTGCTTAACGGGCAAATTCTCGACCCCAAAGACTAAACTTACGACATCTCGAGTATTAATTGAGCCTGATTTTCTCGTTTTAAACTTTGTCTAAAAGATTGCAACTGCATTTGGCGGACTCGCGACACCTCCAGGTACTTTCAAAGGCACACTTGTTAGGAAGAATGTGTATCTATCAAGCCTTTGACAAGTTTCGGCTAGTCTTTCCAAGTCAAACAACTCACCAATAGGCATTCCCCAACCGCCTATCAATACCTGATGTATCAATCCGCCATCTTTCACTCCATCTTCAAGTTGCTTTCCGGACCACAACCCCTCCACGGGTGCCTGTTCAAAACTTGGCGAGTCACTCAGCACCGCAGCGAATCCACTATTCCACAACCACTGAAGCATTCCCGTTGATGACTCAACTCCAAGGAAGTCTGGCGTTGGTCTTCGGGCAACAGCGTCCTGCCCTGCGGGATCCAATGCGTTGTACGACCTCGTAAAGCCGACCCGGAGAGCAAGTATGTCTCCTGGCTTGAAAGAGACATTCTGTTCCATGATCATCTGTTTGATATGCTCCAAAGGTATTGAAGCGCTAATCATTGGATTCAAGGTGATGGAATGCCGATGGCAGAATGATACATAGTCTAATAAGATCCCACGGCCGATGACGCCACCGTTTTCTGCCCAGACTTATTGTCCGATCGATAGTCAGTTCAGCTCCTCATCTTTGAGGCTCATACTGACCATCAATACCGAGAACTCTAGTACTTTCGACATCTTCTTGTGTTCGATTTCCGTAAAATCGTTGGGCACCTTGATACCCTTATAAAGTGTTAGCGTTTGAATAAGAGCCTCATGCTTGTGACCTGTACCAAAGTGCCTAAATCCATCCCACTGCGTGCTGCATTGGGTATTGAAATGTAATTCGTCATCATTGATTGTTTTACCAGGACTATTTCGAAGTTTGACTTGGAAAGGCGGTCGGTCAAAGCTTGGCCGTGAAGGCTTGTCAAGGTGCCAGTCCAACGATACCCGCTCTCCAGTCTTGATCTCCTGCGCTGCAGCTACCACGGTTTCAGCTGTAAGCATGTTAAGAGCCCCAAGCTCATCATCCACGCCGTAAAGGCCCCAAGCATTACCTGGAGGGCCATATTTATCGAGTGGCAAAGAGTCAAAAGATGGACGTCCAGGGATTGTCTTATATGCCATGATGCTGTTCTCGTCTTTAGAACTGCCAAACACCCACCCCCGCGCGTGACCAGCATCGTCCTCCTTTGTGATTTTATGGAGCATGACTTAAACATTGGGTTAGGAGCCTTCTCGATGTGATTTGTCCGAGTCATTTGCACAGTTCTGGGTACCATTTTCCCGAACTCCGCCATAGTGCCCCACGTTGTCGCTACGGGAAGTGGTTTTGTATAGAGGCACACCACTAGCTACGTATGTACTTGGTAACACAATGCCTAAGACACGATTCATTCATCGGCTACGAGTGGGCTGTCGCATAAAAGCCGACCGGTAGTTCTGAGAGTTCCTTGAAAAAGCTTTGTCAACCAAATGGTGTCATTTTACACCACGAGCCATTCCTCAGATCTCCTAATGCTGTCAGTCCTCTTCGAACATATCGCCAAGAGGGTACGCACCACCAAACACATCCTACTTGACTTCCGTACCCACTGATCGTCTTGGATATTGATAAATCCCATCTGATGGCCGCTGGCATACTACACGGCGAGTCGTTTGAATGTTGACTGCAAATTCCTGTGCACCGAAGGTAGTAAATACAGAGGCATATTATAAGCCTGGGGTTTCTCTGCAAGATATTTTTTCATGTTTTTTTCCTTCCAAAATGACGTGCCCCCGAATCCGTGTAAGTGTGGAGGGCATCAAACTAACGATCGGCTATAGGATAGGTCTAATCCTGTTCTTTAGCCTATCAAAGGATTCATGATTTTCTTCGAGAGTAAGGATTAGAATATCTACTAAAGCACTCTCGGCACTTTAGTGAGAGCAAGCTCGCGCAAATAATTAGCGTACCCGATCGGGTGTCGGATACGCTAGAGTAGTCATCCCCACATGTCTTCAGTCTAGCTAGTGACTTGTACACAAGATTAGGTTGCCATTCGGCCAGCTGAAAGTTTTCCCCCGTGGGGTCACACTTAGATCATGTTGCAGTCGGTGTTACCATTTCCTATTAGTATCAATCCTTGATGCAGTCTTGCAAGTAAGCTTTAGCCAAGGCACGAGCTATAACTACAATAGCTATCCGTCTCGATTCATTGATTAGATTTGATATCTCTTGCGATGATGTGAGGGCTGTAATCAAACCTTCTAGCCACTTTTTCAAACCCTAGCTCCTAGTGCTGCATAGTCCAAAAATCTGACATCATGGGCCTTTCTGGGCTTTCCTTGAGAGTTGCTTTCACATTTACCTGTGGCATATCGTACCTTCTCTATGGTTATGATCAAGGCTTTATGAGCGGCGTTCTAATCGCCGACGATTGGCTTCGTCAGATGAATTATCCATCAACTTTCATGCAGGGTTTCATTACTAGTATTTATGAACTTGGTTGTCTAGGAGGTGAGCTTGCTCAATCCAACGACCTCCGCTGCAGCGCTAACTTTGGAAAAGGATGTCTTGCAAGTTTCGTGTTTAGCGAACGTCTCGGAAGAAAAAAACCCATCATTTTTGGAACAATTATAATCATCATCGGCGCTGTTCTGCAAACTGCTGCTTACAGACAGTCTCAGTTCATGGTTGGCCGAGTGGTTAGCGGTATCGGCACTGGCCTCAACACTTCCATTATTCCAATATGGTGAGCTAGTCTGCTAAATCGCTGTTGACGTCAATCTTACCATGTCTTTAGGCAAGCTGAAAGCCTTCCTGCTAAGACGCGTGAGCGTTTTGGGTCTTTCCAGTATCTCCTTGTCTGTTTCGGCGCTAGCGTTTCCTACTGGATGAACTATGGCCTTTCTTACGCCGGAGGTGCATTCGAGTGGAGGTTTGCAGTTGCTGCTCAGATGATCTTCGCCATAATCCTCCTTGCCATGGTGCCTTTTATGCCTGAATCTCCTCGGTGGCTGATGGCTCACAACCTCCCAAGCGAGGCGGTCAATAACCTCCTAAAGATGCACGGAGTAGCAGACCAGCGAGATGCGGAGATTCAGACAGAGATTCGCTTGATTAATCAGGCAATTGAGCTCGAAACAATGGCAGATTCGGTCAGCTGGTTTGAGATCTTCAAAAACCATAAAGAAACACAGAGCTTCCGACGTGTGGCGTTGGGATGGTGGCTGATGGCCATGGTCATGTTGAGCGGTGTTTGCTCTATTGGCTACTACATCTCGTATCTTTTCGAAACATCTGTCGGCCTGTCACACAATCTATCGCTTCTTCTTTCTGGCTTCAACGGCCTTTGTGAGTTGATATTCTGCTCTCAGCTCGCACACATAAAGACTAATGACTTTAGGGTACATGGCATCGGCAGTCATGCCACCGTTCATCATTCACCGCGTAGGTAAGCGTGGATGTCTGATGATTGGAGCCTTTGGCATGGGAGCATGCTTCCTCACCATGTCTCTCGGAATTCGTTCAGGTTCATACGGTGCCTCTATCGTTGTCGTCATTGCGTTCTTCCTCTACTACACCTTCTTCGCCATCGGCTGGCTCGCTATTCCTTGGCTCTACTGCGCCGAAATCATGCCGCTACATCTGCGTAGCAAGGGTAACGCTATTACCACATCGTCCAACTGGCTTTGGAACTTTGCGACTGTCATGATGACGCCGAGCACTATGTCATCTCAAGGTTGGAAAGGATATCTCATATTTACGATATTCAACTTTGCCTTTGTTCCAGCAATCTGGCTCTTCTACCCAGAAACCACGGGAAGACGACTAGAGCAAATCGATGCGATCTTTTACAAGACCGGGCCCATAGTGGGAGGAACGCAATGGGCGAAGAAGGGTCATTTCGAATCAGATGCCCTTGAAAGTGCTCTAGCAGAGCAGACCAAAGTTGCGGCTTACTCAGGTGAGATTGAACAGGTAGAGTAGATCAGATACAGATGTCTGGTTGAATCCCTGGATGATGCTCATCTCGCTGCATATTGTCGCTGAGTACTTATGCCGGACAGCAAGTATTGTCTCTGGGAAGTTATCTTGTAAAATGGAATAAACGCGCTTACTTCATTTTCAAGGTTGAAAGATGCTCTCGAGACTCAGTATCAAGAACAATATGATTCATATAATTTTAATCAGACATTCTTCGATCTACATCAACATTATTTACCTCCAAGACCCCACTTATAAGGGGCATCGTGTAGCTCACCATAATAGGCTTAGTCCAAGTCGTATGCCCCACTGAACCAATCAGCGGCAACCTCAATCAATGTGATTGGCTTTTTCGCACTTGGACTGCTCGGAAGAGCTAGACTAGTAGATTTGGAAATAATGTTCTGACGACAACATCTTGACGTACGTAATTGATCTTTCATGCGTCGCTAGATGTGCTCTTGGACGTGAGGGAATGCATGGAACAAGGGATACACAGCTAGACTCCTGTCAAAGGTCTATCTTTCCGCACTAGCTCTTCATGATAGTCTCAATGCCATAATGCAGACTCGACAGCGCCGCCATCATAGTCGTAGTCGAACTGGCTGCATGACATGCAAGAAAAGACACTTAAGATGTGACGAAGATCGGCCAATCTGGTAAGCAACATTCCGCCATCATATTGCGGTCTGATTCGCGTATTCTCTGCGTCTACTGCAAGTCTGCGTGGTAAGTCAATTCGGAAGCTGACCCAACAACAGCAAGAGATGTATCATTGGTGGTCATGGATGCAAGTACCCCGATGTGGAAGTCTGGAATAGCAAGGACGAGAATATCCATCGACCTAGCTATGTAGGCCAACAGGCATGGTCTGTTGTTTGGCAGCTCCCAAGTGATCCTAGATCGGCAGATCCATTTGATATCCTGCCTACAAACATGCCGCTCAAGTCCCGCCAATTGTTTCGATACTGTGAGCCGCTTCTATTCCCCCACTAATTATGCCTCGTTTAGCTTCCCTGATTAGGCACCCGATGAAATGAGTACTGACCCGTTTGATAGTCGTACAAGTGCACAAGGATGAATGCAATATTCCTTTATCCGAAGAACAGTCAGTAGATACTCCCAATGTACTTAAATTTGCTCAGGGTTAAGGCTGACAGTCTCTAGCATCAAGAAATCCCTCCAATCTCCAGGTTCGTTTCGCAGCGTTCTTCTACTGGCGGCTTTGCACTTCTCTTGGAAGACCGGGAGCCTTGGCCAATATGAATCGACCTACCTAATACACAAAATCGAGTGCATTCGCTCCATCAATTCCTTACTGGATAAGCCAGGTAGAAACCTTGACTCTATCCGGTCATATCTCAATGTCATTGCCACATTATGCTTAATAGAGGTGAGCCTAGAGCTTCTTGATGGCTTCAATCTAAGTCCGACTGCATGATTGACATTCATAGACGAGTACTGGAAATTTGCGTGCCGCAGAAGCTCACCTGGAGGGCTTGATGATCCTCATTGACGCCAAGAAAGTCATGTGGCCAGTGAACGATGCATCCCAGGACGTGAACAGCGTCTTACAACGGTATATAATGATATGTATCCAAGAAGTTTTTCGTTTGCGGACGCGCCTCAAAACTTCTTCTTATCCAGCATCGACACTAGCGGGGAATGATCTAGCGTTTGTTGATGAGCAAACCCGAGGTGCTGTTCAGCCTATAGGAGATTTCAACGATCGCCTCCTCGCGCTATGGCTTATGCCGTATCTGCACCTCGCGAACCAAAGCCTACAAGCTGAGGATATTGATGCCTCCGAATTTATGGACTATTTGCGCATCATCACAGATAGATGTGGCGGTTGCTGCCCCAGTGCTTCATACAATGCCATCCCAAGTAGGAAGTGGATGGGTTCTGGAGCGCAAATCGCAAATTATTTCCTGTGGGGGGTGATTGACGACGGCACAACACTGCGTTCTGCATTTAACTCTTCTGATAGTTTCGAAGTTCATGGGTAGGGCTGAGTATTACAACAGGATTCTACCTTTACGGTCTTGTGGGACTAGCGTCTGCCCAGGACGCCATTGATGGTCGTGCCCTGAGATGGATCATGCGAATGCTTCAACAAGACTTGGAACAAAGTCAAGAGGCTGTCATGATAAAAGGCAGAAGAGAGTTCTGGCTGTGGAAGGCTTTGTTGGGTGCGTTCGGTGTTGTTGGCGCGTGGATGGCTGCTATGGCCATAGAAAGCGTTGAGACAAGCATATTTGGGGGAGAAGCAACTTTCATTGAGCTCAGAGCTTGGTTTCTTTCTAAGATTCGGCTTTGGGCTAAGGCCACTGGAATATCCGAATGGACGTGTGCTAGAGATGCTCTGTCATCTGTAGTTTGGCCCCTCCAGGCTGCTGCAGAGTCATTGATAATCATGATATGGGAGCAGGCATTGGCCGAAGATGGCATTTCAGACGAATAACAGGATCACACTAGTCTAATGCGATTCACGTAGTATTGTACTAGAATATATCGTCATTGATTTTGGGGTTATCTTGAGTCATGTGAGGAATCTATCAAACGGATGGAATCAAGATGATGAGGATCAATGGGATGACGCTATTGCTAATAATTTTGATCAGTCAACAAGTCAACACGAAATTTCGAAGAATGACTAGGGCGAGACAAAGTTCAAGATAGGTACCTGCATCATGGACGAACGAAAAAAAACTTTACAAACCTGTCAATGACTTACTATATTAACCATACGACGTTTAGAAACACTTTTCTTCATGAAAGTTTTTACCTCATGACAATACTAACCATGATAACGAGGCTGCCAGATGCCCAGCCACACATCACGGCCTCGCTACCCCGAAGGCCACAGATGCATACCAACAGGTATCGAAAATGGCAGAGTTAATAGGATGCTATATACTAAGAATGGGTTGATTCACGTCTTCAACAGTATATAGGTTCAAACAGCACACCCCTATTTGATCACGCCGATCTATGTCTATCACACCCTCGCTCGTTAACTTCCACTTCCTGCAAAATTGCCTCATTACTCAATGCAGCTTCAAAACCTTTACACTTGTCGACTTTTGCTGCCATACTAGTATCGTCTCTTAATATGACAGTAGCTGCTTAGCATTCGATGTTATCATTTGCGCAGACAGTCTTGTAAAGTAAATCCCAGATCAACTCCCGATATAATTAATCATTTTTGAAGTCTTGTGGCGTGAGCTTCCCCTCAAAAAATTGTGTTGCCGCGACGGATGACCATTTCATCTGAGCTCCTGTCGCTGTTATAGGTCCTTCTGCCTCCCATACTCCGGGATGGTCTTGAGGTTCAGCTTTCTTATGTTAGTACTTTGAACTTCACTCAAATTTCTCATGACATCAGGCTGTGTTTTTAATAGACTTGAACGGAACTCGTCCTATCTTATTGGGTAGAGACTATTGAAGAGTTCGACTAATTTAAATCACTACGTCAAAAGCATGTCTGTCTTTGCAATTCGTAATTTCATTCCTGAGACTATGCTTCAGTCATGTCGATCTTTAGCAAGCCGTTTCCGACCCTACCAACTCTGAACATGGATCCTGACTTTGTGAATATCCTTTGCAATATTCAATATAATCCCCTCTTTCAATATGTCTTACCACCTTTGTCTTGTGGTCCAGCCACATATATCAGTCCTTCTCCAATGATAGCAGCTAAGAAGAGCTTCAAATATGACTTATAGTGCCACTTCGGATACTCGTAATTATCCGGGACGATCAAGAGTGAACCTTAGCCACACCAAGCGCATGGGTTATCTTCATCTATTTTGTCTTCAATGCGTAGGATATCCCCCCACAATTCAAATTGCTTCAACGTCTCTATAGAAATATAACAAACTCTAGAACACCATGTTGGTGTAAAGATCCATACATGTAATTCCCATTCTTATTCCGTCGTATGAGCACTACCTGTAACTTTTGACTTGTCAAGAGGCTAGCTATGACCGTACTTCCGGAAAATGTACCATAATGTCTCTTTCAGCGTGATCATGAAAGGTTGGCATCAAATTCGTATAGAACACCGTTTCTTGTAAATCAGGCCTTGAGTGGCGCCGTCATGAAACTAGGGGTATCAAATGTGGGAAGATATCTGTCCATGGAAGTCCCATACGCCAATTCACAAGATCTAACGCTGCAGTTTCGAAAGTTTTACTGATTGAAACCTTACCCTCGTCATCATGAGCAAATAACTGACATCCAGAAGGCAAGTGTAATCTGACAGAGTCCCAATATAGCTTGATTGAGTGCAGAGAACTTGGTTCCGGATTCGCACATAAAAATTCCCGAAGTCTTGGCCATGGAAGAAAGTCGATGCACACTGGATGAGGCCGCGAGGCTTGTGCGGGAGTAGGTAGGAGCCAGCTTGGAACGTCCAAGAGTGTCACTTGGCCGGGATTTAATTGCCACTATCTCAAATTAGTGCTGCCAGACGTGTTGTAAACACAGCATACCCTCATCAACCGATATGCAAAGAGATAAGCCCCCAACAAGGTCTCTATGGGGCCATCAGCCTTCATATCCCGAAGAAATGGCGTAATCAGAGATGTCACAAAGTTGTCTCCGTCTGAGTGAAGCATCATACTTGGGAGGGGAGGATTTCGAGGCATATTGTTTGTAGTCTGTAAGCTGTGTGGAAAGGCCACGTTGGCCTGGTATAGATTAGTGACGCTACACCTTTCTAGACTATCGAAATGATCGGAATGCTTGAATCCACAGCGACAATCAAGTACCCGTAGAGAAGGGAGAGTAGTAGGCTGTGTTCGTGTGGGCATCAAAGGCGATGGTATGGTCAATTGCGTAGGAAAGTCGGCCGTCCATTGTTGGTTGTGGATGGTACTAATGCCTGGTGGAAGAATATGGTGCACCAAGTTGTGGGGTAGTCCGGTGTTGCCTAGCTGAAGAGTGATCTGTTCTAGACTCTGTCGGATCTGTAAGATCTCAGCTTCGATGCGTTCCAA